TATGGGATCCCATACCCCAGTGAGAGTCAATGTTTGTATATGGGATCCCATACCCCAGTAGGGTGTCATTGTGTGTGTGGAATCTGTGCTCCTGCTGGATGTTGGAGGTGGTGCTTAGAATGACGTTCTATAAAAATGTTAAGAAATCTGTATCATGTAATCACAGATTTCTTACAATGATCCATCTTTGCGATGCAATGATTGGTAAGATTATGAGGCACTGTTGCTATGATTAAGGACTCGAACAATTCCAGTCGTAAGGAGCAAATAACACAAACGTGGAGTAAATGATGTACATAGTCATGAGAACAGATTTTGAGCACTTAGGACAATCCTTGACTTCATATTGAAAGTTCAGAATAAATGAGGTTAGGTACAGAGTAAGCCTCTCTCCACAGTGTCCCCATTGAAAACTCCAGCACAGTGTGGGGTACATCACAGTGTTACAGTGAGGGCTGTGGGGTGCATCACAGTGTTACACTGATGGGTGTGGGGTATATCAGAGTGTTACAGTGAGGGGTGCAGGGTATATCAGGGTGTTACAGTCCAGTGTGTGGGGTATATCAGAGTGTTACAGTGAGGGGTGTGAGCTATATCAGTGTTACAGTGAGGGGTGTGAGATAGATCAGTGTTACAGTGAGGGATGTGCAGCATACCAGAGCATTACAGTGAGGTATGTGGTGTAGGTCAGAGTGATACAGTGATGGGTGTGGGGTACATTACAGTTTTACAGTGAGGGGTGCGGGTTAAATCAGTGTGTTACAGTGTGGGGTGTGGGATATTTCAGAGTGTTACAGTGAGGAGTGTGGGGTATATCAGTGTGTTACAGTGATGGGTGTGGGGTATATCAGTGTGTTACAGTGATGGGTGTGGGGTATATCAATGTGTTACAGTGCAGGGTGTGGGATATATCAGAGTGTTACAGTGTGGGGTGTGGGGTGTGGGGTATATCAATGTGTTACAGGAGGGGTGTGGGATATATCAGAGTGTTACAGTGAGGGGTGTGGGATATATCAGAGTGTTACAGTGAGGGGTGTGGGATATATCAGAGTGTTACAGTGAGGGGTGTGAGATATATCAGAGTGTTACAGTGAGGGGTGTGAGATATGTCAGAATGTTAAAGTGAGGGATGTTCAGTATACCAGAGTGTAACAGTGAGGGGTGTGGGATATATCAGAGTGTCACTGTGAGGGGTGAGGAGTAAATCAGAGTGTTACAGTGATGGCGTGGGGTATATCAGAGTGTTACAGGGAGGGTGAGGGGTATATCAGAGTGTTACATTGATGGGTGTGGGGTATATCAGAGTGTTACAGGGAGGGTGAGGGGTATATCAGAGTGTTACAGTGAGGGGTGTGGGGTATATCACAGTGTTACAGTGAGGTTGAGGGGTATATCAGAGTGTTACAGTGAGGGGTGTGGGGTATATCTGAGTGTTACAATGATGGTGTGGGGTATATCTGAGTGTTACAGTGAGGGGTGTGGGGTATATCTGAGTGTTATAGTGATGGTGTGGGGTATATCAGAGTGTTACTGGGAGGGTGAGGGGTATATCAGCGTGTTTCAGTGATGGGTGTGGGGTATATCACAGTGTTACAGTGAGGGCAGTAGGGTATATCAGAGTATTACAGTGAGGGGTGTGGGGTATATCACAGTGTTACAGTGAGGGGTGTGGGGTATATCAGACTGTTACAGTGAGTGGTGTGGGGTGAATCAGTGTGTTATAGTGAGTGGTGCAGGGTTATTAAGAATGTTACAGTGAGAGATGCAGGGTATATCAGTGTGTTACAATGATGGGTGTACGGTATATCACAGTGTTACAATGAGGGCTGTAGGGTATATCAGAATATTACAGTGAGAGCTGTGGGATATATCAGAGTGTTACAGTGAGGCGTGTTGGGTATATCAGAGTGTTACAGTGAGGGGTGTGGGATATATCAGAGTGTTACAGTACAGTGTGTGGGATATATCAGAGTGTAACAGTGAGGGGTGTGGGGTATATCAGAGTGTTACAGTGAGTGGTGTG